AAGGTGAGACCTGTGTCTACACGTGGCTTGTGCCCAGCCCGCCCACCTCTGCGCTTTACCTCCTGACAGTGCTGTTTAAAGATTTGTTTATATTAGAAGAGCTGGGGTGCAGGCCAGAGATGGGGGCGGGGTGGGCGCGTGAGAGGACTCACTGGAGACAGAGTGTGGAGAACAGGCGGATCCACTGAAACACACTGCTGAGGAGAGCAGCAGGGAGACAGGAGAGGTCTGCTGTGCCCTGTGGGTCGCTCCCTGGCTGGGGACTGAACTCAAGCTGCAGCCTGAGACTCAACCCTGAGGCTGCAAGGCAGCCCTGCCTTTTGCCTTTGGAAGGAGCTCCTGCGGCCGCAGATCCAGCCCCCTGCTCCCCATGTCGACTCTGCTTTGTGGGCAGCGTGATGGTGGTGGCGTCTCTGTTTTTTAGGGATTTGTTTGTGTTCTCTTTGCTTTTATTTTCTTTTTGAGATGTAAAGTGTCCTGATCAGCTCTAGTCTCTACCTGTTGGGGGAGGTTTGTCAATGAGATTGTGCGTGTGTGTGTATGTGTGTGTGTGTGTGTGTGTGTGTGTGAGAGAGAGAGAGAGAGAGAGATGGTCTCGGACTTGGGTTTTTAACAAGAATTTTTAAGGTTCCATTGCAGCCACAGAACCTTGATTCCAGTTTCTATCCCGTTGTCCTTCACTCCCTTTGGAGTGGTGGACCTGACCCAGTTCTTTTTTTGGGAACTTATTTCACAGAACAGAGCGTTAAAATATTTTTTGTTCTTCTCATCAAGTGCAATGTAAGAACTGGCTGGCATCCATAACTTCTATTCTGTAGCATGCAAGGAATCCTATTTTTTTGGTGCAGTATTAGCCCCGTCATCCTACTGACTAGCTCTAGGAGAGAGAGCTGGAAGGGGAGCAAAGTGACCTCCTACATGAAATAAACACTTTCTCCACAAGCGTGTTTTCTATTGATTTCATGAGTCTCTAACTCCTTATCAGGGAACGTGTATGTAATGGTATGGTCCTAGAAGAATGCCACAGATAATGAAAATTGAATTTATTGTTGAATAAAATTTGGATTGTCACAAAGTTCCACATGGCTATATTGCTGCAGGGGGATCCTTTCTCCAGAGGGAGCTGACCCAGGGCCCTTCCACGTCTGCTAGTGGGGGCCGTGCTCCAGGGAACTGACACTGGCTTGAAAACAAGTCTTAGCTGAGTCATGGCTAGGACGTGACGAATGTATTGGATTGACTAAATGATCACACCCAGGAAGGTTTAGAAATGAGCATTTAGGGAATTTATAATACAAATGTTAGCTGTCTGCTAAGGTACTCTGGAGGTTTAAAGTACAGCACAGTTGTCTTGTCTTTTTTTTTTTTTTCTGTATATTTGATTAAAAAAGGTCATTTTCGGGGAAACAGGATGGAAAGGATAGAGAAAGGAAGGGGAAGTCAAGGAGGGTAGGATGGGGTACATTGGTGCCCCCAGGGTGCTGGGAAGAAGCTGCAGCAGACCCTTCTCTTCTTTCAGCCCAGTGCCAGATGCCTGGGGTCAGCAAGACGCAGGGCCCTGCCCCTCCAAGGCCCAGAAGGCTCTCCTGGTCACAGCAAGCTTCTCTTGGGCTCTGCGGTGGTGCTGGTCTTTAGACACACGTCACTCTAGCTTCTGCCCTCAGGCACCTGCTGCCCTCCCAGTGGCTCTGGGCCCACATTTCCTCCTTCTCAGACAGACAGGGCTTAATGGACTTAGTTTCTAGCCCATCATCTTCCAGTGTGGCCTCACCTTAACTTGATTTTGCTTTCAAGAGCCTGTCTCTGAGTAAGGTTGCATGGACAGATTTAGGGGGTAGATGCTATTCAGACCATACAAATTCAATTTATATTTTGATATTTAAATCAACACATTTACTAGATTTGTCTACACAAATTAAACAGATAAGACACATTTATGTAAAAACATTTTAATTTGCTTTGCTGTTCACATCTCTCCTTCCCCTCTGTGTCTGCATGCAGATCTAGCATTTTCCATTTAGGTAGCAGAGATCACATTAAAGGAATATTTAGTGACGAAACAGCTATTTATAAAGATGTGGAACCAGAAGACTTTCCAGATTACCTCGTAATAGCCCAATATTTATAGAATTTCCAAACTAGATTTTCATGCGTGTTTTAACTGCTATTAAAATAATACTTTTGTTCTTATTTTTTATAGCCACAATACCTAACGGTGCCTGATGCTGATTATTGAGTAAAGAGTGAATTAATGAAAAATGGTGTGTGTGTGTGTGTGTGTGTGTGCCTGAAAGAGCCTGAAAGTTCATTTCTGCTTGATTGAGCTCATTCCTTCATTGGCTGAAACATTTAGGCAGCTGATGTAGCACCGTTTCCGGGAGGCCGTAAGTCGGCACAGTCCTGCTAGAAGTCAACTTGGTAATAGTCATCAAATTAGAAATGTCCCTTTTTACCCAGCACTTTCACTGCCACACCGATTTACAGGTAAAACGTGGTGTATATCTCCATTGAAGGGTTATCAACAAAGGTGTGATATTTAATAAATAAATTCTTCTCCTTGATTTTTACAAACCCAGCCAAGAGGTGTCCTGCTGCCCATACTTCGCCTTCCTGGCTTACGGTGGGTCCCCGCTACTGGCGTGAAACTGATCCAAAACATCCTGTCTCTGGATAGATTTGTTCAGCCAATGTCCCTTATTTATTTATTTATTTGTTTGTTTGTTTGTTTATACAAGTACTGGGGTACAGGCCAGAGACATGGGAGGGTGAGAGAATTCACCAGAGATGGTGCAGGGAGCAGACCAGGCAGAAGAACCGAAATACACTGCTGAGGGGAGCGGCGGGTGAGGCAGGAGAGGTCTGCCGTGCCGTGTGGGAATCTCCCTGGCTGGCCGGAAATTGAACTGGTGCTGCAGCGGCTGCGGACAGCTTCACAGCGTTGTGCTCAACCTGCTGTGCCAGGGAGGCCCCCATTTTTTATTTTCCATGGGTAAAATACATAGCATAAATTTACTATCTTAGCCATTTTTAAAGGTGCTGTTCAGCCTCAGCAAGGTTGTGCATGTTGTTACAGGCCTGATCTCTAGAACTTTCTTACCTTGTAAGATTGAAACCTCCAGCTGTTAACTGGCAAGTCTCACTTCCCCGGCAGCCACTGCTCTATGCATTTCTCAGTCTGAGCGGGTTTCTCTGTTTATTAATTATCTCACATTTGCTCTTGGGGCACTGCCGACTCTGGCCTCACGTGCTTCGTTTTACCTGTAAATCGGTGTGGCAGTGAAAGTGCTGGGTAAAAAGGGACATTTCTAATTTGATGACTATTACCAAGTTGACTTCTAGCAGGACTGTGCCGACTTATGGCCTCCCAGAAACGGTGCTACATCAGCTGCCTAAATGTTTCAGCCAATGAAGGAATGAGCTCAATCAAGCAAAAATGAACTTTTAGGTTCTTGGACCAGGTCAGAGGCCTCGAGGAGGCAGGGGAGAAGGAAGAGAGGGTGAGTTGGCAGGGTCTTCTGTGTGGCAAGGTCAGAGCTGGACTTTCCCTGGGAACTTAACTGTGGTGTGTACAGATGTGGGTTTAAATGATGCACTGCCCAGACTTGGGTGATATTAAAATGCAGTGTTGCTTTGATGAAAAAGTATTTATTCATTTGTTTTTAAATATTTATTTTTATTTATTTATGCATACAAGGACTGGGGTACAGGCCAGAGGTGTGGGGGGGTGAAAGGACTCACCAGAGACAGATTGGGGGGCAGAACAGGCAGATCCACTGAAATCCACTGCTGAGGGGAGCAGCTGGGAGACAGGAGAGGTCTGCTGCACCCCGTGGGTCACTCCCTGGCCAGGGATTAATCTCAGGCCACAATGGCTGGCAATAGCTTGATAGCGCTGAGATATTTGCTGCCCTAGCTGAAAATTTCCGTTCCTTCATTCAAAATTTTAACATCTTACAATGAATGAGATGCTTGGCCTTGGATGGATTTTGAGGGGATGAAACAGTTAGAGGAGACTATTCTCAGATGAGCCCTTGCGAGGAACTCCCCTGGCTGGTGGCAGTGAGGGGCGGAGGCAGACGAAGGCGGAGAGGTGGGCAGGGCTGGAGGCTGCCCAGCCTGATTGCATCCAGACACAGGCGCCATCTCCCCCGGGAGCTGAGAGGGAGGTGGTGATGCTGATGTAGTCAGTGACTCTGGGAGGCATTAGGGCAGTCCGAGGGCCCCTCTGCAGAATGCTGATAGTCCAAAGGGACGCCCAGTTTTATTTTCTCCTGGGAAGTGGGTTGGAGGCAGGATGAGGCATAGCTGCCCCAACTCACTATTGAGTTTTCCTGGGTCCTGCTTCTGGCTTTCACGTGGAGATTTTTCATCAACACAGTCTTTGCTAGTTTTCTTACTTGTAAATGAAAGTACGTGTTTCTGTTTGCATTCATATTTTATTGTAAAGTAGAATGTGCAGGCTTCTGGAAACCATCCTCACTGGGGAGCGGTAGCGATAGTTTCAGTTTCGCCCCTGCAGACTTTTTGTCATGTTTTAAGTAATAAGAATGTTGTTTCTTCTTTGAAAAGGTGAGCTCACGCTGCACAGACGGACTTGTGGTTTGTCCTGTTCTCGGGAACTCAGCTATTCGGGGTTCTGAGACACCCTTGTTCTCTTCATGGCTTTCGCTCTTCCACTGTCTGGTCACTTCCTCACCTCCCACTCCCCACCCCCGTCATGAACCTTTCAGTAGCCGTGAACCTGCCCTGTGGAGTCTTTACCTCTCTGGACAATTGTTTCTCCAGGATAAACTCTACAAAGTAGAATTTCTAGATCCAAATTAGGGCCATTTTAGGTCTCGTGGCTATTTGGGGGTCCCTGTAAGGAGGACCCCCTGGTTTCTCCAGTGACAGGTGTTGTGCTGTTGACAGCTTTGACTTGGGCTCTGGCACCTGGAGTCCGGCCAGGGCTCGCACATCAGGCTTGTGTGACTAACAGCCTATCTGCTTGTCGCCTGCAGTGATGGAGTGGGGCGACGATGTCAGAGCCATCGCAGAGGACGAGGCCGTGATGCTGGTGAACCACCAGGCAACAGGCGACGTGTGCACACTGATGATGTGCCTCCAGGACAAGGGGCTTGTAAGTGTTGGGCGCCGAGCGGCCCTTGGGCCTCGGGCTCGCGAGACCGCACATGGCTGTGTAGCTTTCCTGCAAATTTACAAAGTATGTGATTCTAAGTCATGTCAGGAGGAGGATTTAGAGATGTTAAGCAACAACGACGGGGTGTTAGTTGTGTCTCCATAAAGCTGTTTTCAAAAGAAATAACTGGGAGGAAGCAAAGTTACCGTGGTGTGAGCCAGGCCTGTCTCGAGGTGCAACTATGGTCGCAGCAGGGTGGGGTTGGGACCCAGGAGGTCTCGGGATCTTTAGCCAGGAGAAGACAAGGTAAATATTATTCTGAATTTCATTCAGCAGTTGGCATTAAAAGAACCGTTGCCTTAGGAGAGTCTTGTTAAAGAGGTTACTCGTGTTCATGGAAAATGAAAGAAAGGACAGAATCAACGGGGTCGGTATTGGGCCTAAAGAGAGAGGCTTCAGTGATGGTCAGCGACTTGAGATCAGCACCCTCCAAGACAGCACCCCACTCCTGAAGTTCCCCAGTTCAGGGTGCTACAGGGGGCATGGCACACAGAACGGAGGTGCCCGTGAGGGCTTCAGGGGAGGGCGCCGCAGACTGGGTGGACGAGGAAGGACCGGATGGGCATAGACCTAGGGCGGCGGGTGGGGGCTCATCCTCAGTGAACCCCCTTTCCCAGCCCGGCCAAGGCAAATTTATCCATACAAATCTCAGAAGACACCTGAGATTGAGCTTCTTCCTCTTAGGTGAGCCAACTGAAGATGTGCTTCACTGCCGCTGTGAGATTGAACTTAAAAGCTTTGTGCTGGTACTTTAGACCCAGAGCCCGGTGAATCGCAGCCAAACTTCATACTGTATAGAAAATTCAAGTATTTTATAGAGTCCATGCACTGGGGATTTGGGTTTTTTTCTTATTCCTTATTCAACAAAATTCATTCAGCACAAAGCTCAATTTATTTAAGCAAAATAATCAGCAGCATGAGGTCAGAGCAGAGCCAGTGGGGTTTCTCCTCCTATCTAATGGACGTGGGGAATCTGCAGCAAGTGATGTAAAAATATATATATATTTTATATATATATATATATATAAAAATATGTTTAAAAAAAAGCAAAGCTCTGGGTGGCGACCCCATGACTCAGGGACACAGGAGCGAGGCAGGTGGTCTGCAGTCCTGTCTGTGGCTTGGGGAACGCGTCTGCTCTTCCACAGGAGCCAGAGGGGAGCTGAGCTCTCCCTTCCTGCTTGAGGTGGTGCTTTTGCTTTACCTCAGGCCGTGAGTGCCATTCCCTCAGGGACGAATAGCAACCGGTTCACTAACTGGGTCCTTTGCACTTTTAATTTGGGATAGTCTTCTGCTTCCCACATGAATATCAGCTCTCGTCAGCCATCGCTGACATGTCCGTGTTTGAGAGCAGAGCCGTGTGTGTGTTCAAGCTGGCAGCGTCACGCAAACAAACTTCCTACTCAGCTTGATAAAATGTGCAAGTCCTTCTAGTCAGTGAATCTTTAAATGCCCTTTTTGGGTAGACATTCTATTTTATGTTTATAAATTTTTACGTTTATACCTAAAATATTCTCATTTATTCGTATTTCATTTTGTAGCTTTTAGTATCGATAATTTATTTTACTGAGGTAAAATCGTATTCGATCAAGTCTTAGTGCTTGTTAATTAAAGACATGGCCCTTGTTTGACAAGGTCAGTCCTGGAGAGTCATGCTGTTGTGCTGCGTCAGTATAATTTCATATAAGTTATGTGAGAATCTCCAGAGCCTGCTCAGGGTGGCAGAAGCGAGTCGCCGAGTCCCGATACAGGACGTGAAACCATAGCACAGGCCTGGGACCTGGACTCGAGACCTGGAGTTTTCAGAAGAGTCCACAGAACTGCGTTCTGTGTGTCGAATAGCCACAGGCCTCAGATTAGCAGGGAGTTAAGAGGATGCTTGAGGGTTATATTTAAAACAGAGAGTGGCTGAGGTAGAGTGACGGTTCTTCCAGGTGGCATTTAATTCATTCTTACTTTTGAATGTTTTAGGTTGTTGCTCAGATGATGTGGTTGATGGATCATATCTTTAAGTACACAAACTTTGGAATCGTCTCTTTAATTCACGGAGACTTCTTTATACGGCAGGTAAGTCCTGAGTGTGGCTGTACAGCCATCACTTGGTCAGGCTGAGTCTTTACTATAAAGGAGACAGAACAGAGCCAGGGAGTAGGGACAGCCAGGCCAACCTTTGTTCCCTAAACCATGTGGGTCTGGGTTGGTGCATGCAGGAGCATTAAAGCACTGGCAGCCCGTGTGCTCCCTGGGGCAGACACGTTTAGTAAGCCCTGTGTGGCCAGTGCCCAGCTGCCAGCCTCTTGGCTGCGTAAATCAGGCCAGGCAGGTCCTTAACCTCTCAAGCTCAAATGAGAACCCCGCACCCCCCCACCCCTCGCCCGCCATCAGGGCAGGGTGGGGTCCAGGAGGTGGTGTGTGGCCGGTGTCAGGGCTGGGCCTGGGGCTGCTGCTTTTGCCGGCAGCTCCCTCGTGGTCCCAGCTGTCTTCCTCCGAGTCACTGCTGTGATTTTTATTTTCAAGTTGCCGTGAGGACGCAGATGGTATCTAAACTGCAGCAGGGAGATCATTAAATAAGAGGAAATGTATTGGGAATTCATAGCAAGAAAAGTGAATAGATCAGGTTTCTGGGAACCCAGAAAAACTTTGGAGAAAGTTATAAATGTGAAAGGCTGGGCTGGGGTGGCCCGACAGAGGAAGGTGGGCTGGGAATCGTTCCTCAGGTCAGGAGCAGGTCAGGGTGGGAGAGAGGGTCAAGCCCGCCTGGAGGGGGCACTGTCCCCACCCTGCTGGCTGCCACCTGTCCCAGCCTCTGGCCTGTGAGGTGCAGAGCTGTAGGAGAAGGCCTCACTCCGGTCACCCGTATGCAGGCGGCCACCCCATTGGCAGTGGCACACGCACACCTGGGCATCCAGAGTCATGGGCCTCGGACCTCTCTGCGAAGTGTGGGTTGAGAAATTGGCCGAAGTGGGTGGACAGCCCCTGTCAGCCTGAGCACGTGGCCGTGGGAGGAAGACAGCCGTGGGCATGGCCGTGGGCTGGCTTGTCCCTGCTATGGGCAGAAAGGTGGACAGCACCGTGCTTTGTGCCCAGGCCAAGGGGGCCCCAATGGGGACAGGGAGCAGGGAGTGGAGCAGCTTCCTAGGGAACCCGCCTGATGTCTCGGGGCCTCCATCGGGGTCAGCAAGGCCGGCTGAGCCCCCTCTTGATGCAGGAGAGTCTCGATATGAGTCTCCAGGTAGGGGAGACTGAGAGCCGACCCTCCCCCCCTACTCTGGGGGAGGGCAAGCATGGGGTCACGTCGGGCCTGGCGCAGGGTGGAGGTAGAGGCCGTCATTCTGCTTTTGTTTCTTGGCATTTGTCTCGCACAACTGTACTCACGGGACCTGTGTCTGCCCTCCAGGGGAAGTCCCACCGAGACCAGCAGCTTCTTCTGCTCAAAAAGCACCTGGAAAATAATTACAGAAGCCGAGATCGAAAATGGATTGTTTTGTTTCCAGAAGGGGGTTTCCTCAGGAAGAGGCGAGAAACAAGCCAGGCCTTCGCCAAGAAAAACAACCTGCCATTCCTCACCCACGTTACCCTGCCACGCGTCGGGGCCACCAGCGTCATCCTGGACACGCTGGTTGCGCGGCCGGAGAACGGGAGCCCCGCCGGGGGCGATGCCAAGGAGCATGGTACGAGGGTGACTCCTGCTGTGGGAGAGAAATCATGTCTATGGAGTCCAGAAGATAACGTTGTCCCTCTTTATAGGTCAAGGTGTTGTCCAATGAAAGTGATAGACAGTGAGGAGATAAACATGTGATTTTCGAATGTTTCCATTTAGGAAAGCAGTCCAGGCTTGACTGACTGGCTCAGAGGCTGCAGGAGAGCAGGAGCCAGAGGCCTCCCTCCCGCCCTGACTCCACTGCCCCTGGGCTGGGAAGTCCATGGTCTGCTTGTGGAAGGTGTAGCTCCAGTGGGTGGAGCTGCTGGTTAAAAAAATATAGAAATAGAAAAGACTGATTTGAGAACTTAGCATAGATGCGCGCGTGGACAGTAATGATAGATTATATTAATGTGAGAGTGGACAGTAATGATAGATTGTATTCACTGATCAAGTTTAGAGAGTTTTTTTAATAGAAACTGAATGAGTGAGTGAATGAATAACTGAATGAATGCAATTGGTAGTATTTCTTCAGAGCCTTAAAACACAGATAAATGACACAGTCACTCCACTGCACATAATACTTATCAAAGGAATGATCTGTACTCGCTGAGCTCACTGCGCGTCATGTGTCACAGCAGATCCATCGCAGCAGGTCGAGAGAGGGACGCTATCATGTCTGCCCACAGAGCCAGCCAGCCTGGCAGATGCTGGTGCAGCCGCCCCCCGGTGTCCTACACCCTGGCCTGGGCCTCTGGGCACCAGCCCAGGGCCCAGGGCCACACTCACAGGAGCCGTGCCTGGGAGAGTGTGGCTAGCTGTGAAGATGCACAGAGGATGTTGGTGCCACGGGCAGTGAGATGGAGGGTGCAGACTCGATGAGCGTTTGCTGATAAGTTATATGTTCAGAAGTGGAAAGAAACTCAGGGGCCTGTTTCCCCAGGGCAGGCTGCCCGCTGCTTTTCACACACTCAAGATAAAATTAGAATGGAAATGCTTGGCCTTCAGCAAATATGGGTTTTTTTGTTTTTTGTTTTTTGTTTTTTGTTTTTAGGAATATGGTTTTTAAAGGATGTTAGGACCAGCCCTAGAAATAAGGCCTGGGAGGTTGCACTGAGTTTTGTTTTGGTTTTTTTTTCCACTTGTTTTTTTGTCTGAGCAGCTGCTTGGCAGTCGGAGCTCTTAATCTTTCATCTTCTATTAAACAGACAAATTGAAAGAGTCTTTTAATAGAAAAGGAAAGTTTTGAATAGCTCCATGCTGGAGAGGCACTGTGGCCACTCAGCTGAGCCAGGGCTGGCAGCGAGGCCTGCAAATGGGACCAGGGCCCGAGAGCAGACTCTGGACGGGGGTATCCTGCGCCTCAGAGTCGGGGTGCCTGTCACGCTGAAGGCCAGGAGTGTAACGGGGCTTCTGCTGCAGAGAAACAATTTCTGTTTCCAACCAAGTCCACATCATCTGACACACAGTTAGAATTTTTTTACTCTGCTTTTTAGGAAACAGCATAAAAAATTCTAGAAAGTTCTATACCTGAAAGTTAGTTTTACCTGAACTTTACCAATTTCTTCTATATGTTTTGGTTTTTGTCTTTTACTTTCTTTAGTGCTCATCTCCAGTATAGTCCATGTGAACACAAACCATGCTGTGCAGCTATTTTAATATGCGACTCAAATACATATCAGAATTAAGGATTAATTTCAACAGGATTAGTATTTTTTGTTTACTGTGTTGAAAACCAAAATTCAACTGAGCAAATTTTAAAGAGCTAATTGACTGTGTTGAATGATTCCACCTCCTTGGAATTCAAGGATCCCATTTTTATTATTTTTGATTGTCTTATTTATTGGTTCTTTTGGCTAAGTCTTTGGTTCTCTGGAAGCCAAACCCACACATTAGAGGGTGAGAACACGGGGTTGGTTGTAAGACCCGCAGGGACGCAGATGTTTTCCTGAGGCTGAAGGAGGCCGAGTGTCAGCCTGACCCATCCTGGGGCCAGAATGTCCCAACCCAGAAGCTGTGGGCGGTGGGTGTGGGGCGTGGGCCGTGGGGGTGGGTGGTGGCAGTTGGCCGTGGCCGTGGGTGGGCCTTACAGTGCTCCCTCTGTGCCCACAAAGCCCACGGCTTTGGCTTCTGAGTCCCCTTAGCCGCAGGCTTCACCTGCTTGCCTGAGGCCTCCCACGGGACGCAGTCGAGTGCCAGTCAGACCCGGTCTGGTCAAGGAAGCCAACTAAAGCTGGAGCTGGATGCAGAGCGTGGAGCTCAGGGCACTCAGGGAACCTACCCAGAGCCCTCAAACACCCCAAAAGACAGAGTCCAAGGAGGCTGCAGCCCCCACTTCCCACCCCCAGGCCTGGCAGAAGTTCACACCTTAGGTGCACCCACATCTGTTAGAAAATGAACGTGAGCAGGTAAATTTAAAGGTCAAGGGCCTCTGTGAATGCTGGGGTCAGGCAGCACCCACCTGGCGAGTGAGGGGCGCCCCAACCCACTGTGCAGAGTGGGGGCTTATTGGCAGGAGGGCAGAGGAACAGCAGGAGGGCACCTTCCCAACAGATGGAAGGGCTGCTGGGCCGGGGATGCACTGGTGCCCACCAGTGGCCCAGCTCGACGAGCCATTCTGCGGGAACGCAGGGGCCTCGTGGCCTGAGTCTGGTGTAGGGGTAGCTTGGGCTGGGCCCTGCCACATACGGCATAAGGCAGCTGGTTCGCAGGTGTTTCTTCACATAAACCCTGTTTCTTAAGCACAATGGTCATTTTAAAATTAAAATATTGTTTTTTATTTTATTTTTTAAAAAGATTTATTTTTATTTATTTATTTATACAAGCACTGGGTATAGTCAGAAGCGCGGGAGGGTGAGAGAATTCACCAGAGCCAGAGCAGGGAGCAGAGCAGGCAGAAGGACCGAAGTACACTGCTGAGGGGAGCAGCGGGCGGCAGGAGAGGTCTGCGCGCCATGTGGGACCCTCCTCCGGTGGCCGGGGAGCAGCCGGGGATCGAACCGGCGCTGCAGAGGCCGCGGGCAGCTTCTCAACCCAGCGCTCAACCGCTGCGCCACCGGGGAGGCCCAAAATTAAAATATTTTTACTTAATTCTTTTAAAAAAATTACTCCCCTCCCTGCCCCTGAATGTTGTTCTAAATTTTTTTTTTTTTAAAGATTTATTTATTTATTTATACAAGCACTGGGTACAGTCAGAGACACGGGAGGGTGAGAGAATTCACCAGAGCCAGAGCAGAGAGTAGAACAGGCAGAGTGACGAAGTACACTGCTGAGGGGAGCAGCGGGCGGCAGGAGAGGTCTGCGTGCCATGTGGGACCCTCACCCGGTGGCCGGGGATTGAACCGGTGCTGCAGAGGCTGCGGGCAGCTTCGCAACCCAGAGCTCAACCGCTGCACCACCGGGGAGGCCCTGTTCTAAATTTTTTAAAGTACCTCTGGCCAGGGTTTCATCATTTGACATATAAAATGATTCCTAACATTCATTCAGACTTGAAAATGAGTTTTGATTTTTTTAAGAGAGTTCTTAAATGCTTCAGATGAAGGTCGACTGTCACAGGTGAGTCTGGGAAGACTTGCCTCTCAGCTTGTGCTTGGCTTTGCACTAATGCTGGAAATAAAGGCCTAAGCGCCCAGAACACCCCTCTCCTTGCCCCAGGGAAGTTGCCTGCTGAGCCTCCCCCAGGCACGAAGAACCTGAGGAGCTTTTGTTTTGTTTTAAACAAAAGCCACAGCTCACTGTCACATGCACCGGTTAGATGATTAACCTTCTACTTTATTCCACGTGTGGATGAATGTCTAGTGAACAGATTTGTTTTGTTTTGAGCTCTGACTTTCACTTTTATGATGTGCTATTTTAACCTGACTTTTCCAGGGCCAGGTTTTTTGTGTGAGACCTCGGTAGTGCAAGCTGGCATTGAATGACGCATGTCCAGGAAATACTACTGCTCTGTTATTTCTTAATTTGTTGGCAATTCATCCATTTGTAATAAGAAATACTTCATTTTATCTGAGTGCATCGTGGAGAACAGTAGTGCCAAAACCATCCTGTTTTCTTCATGCCAAAGGCACAGCAGTGTGCTTTGTCCATTCTAGTAATCCACGCCAGGTTATTTACTTACTGTAAGTAATATTCTTTTTCTTCCATTTAAGTCTTTTTTTTTTTCCTTTGCTCTCAGGCAGCAAATCCAAAGGCCTCCAGTGGATAATAGATACAACCATAGCTTACCCCAAAGCTGAACCCATCGACATACAGACCTGGATCCTGGCTTACAGGAAGCCGACGGTCACTCACGTCCACTACCGGTGAGACTCCAGGCTGGTGCTTGGCAGGCGGCCGCGGCTGATCTGGGCAGCAAGTCTGTTTTAACATGAAGCTTTTAATCGGAGAGTGAAAATAGTTGAATAGTTTTTATGCTGTTTTTAATATGAAAATAACACATGAAGTAGTCATTTCACTGAGTGATGAAAGTCTGAAATTGGCATTCTGGAGACACTGTGATTCCCGCTGGTAAAGGCTGTTCACCTGCAGGACACACATCAGTGCTAGAAGTGCACGCCTTTGGGTTACAGAGTCTGCATTAATAGAAATGGAGTTTGTTCTATCATCGTCGTATAAGATTTCCTAAATGATGGGATGGATGAGCTAGCCGTGACTTGCACCTTTAATGTTTAAGTATTTTAACATGATTATTTGTACTCTGCATCAACAATAGCAAAACTATTCATGGCTATTCTGTGCTAGTTTCTGGAGATTTTTTTAAATAGATTTTTGAAAAACAGAGTTTCATGAAATATGTCTAAACCTTTATGTCAAAGCACACTTCTGGGAAGGCCTGGGTAGAATTGATCACTTTAGAAGTCATTCTTCTTCATATGTTTCCTGGGCAAAGATTGCAACCTGGTGACTTAGTTACGGAGATTGAAAATGAGCAGTGTTGGCCCCAAGGAAGAGGAAAAATGCCCTGAAGCCCTCGGCGTGAGGAAAGCTGCTCCATGGCACCCGCCGACGGGGGAGATTGTGTTTTCATGTGTGTCCACCAGAGCTCTAGAAACGTCAGCGGTTGGGATGATTTGAAATGTAGATATTACAATTGGGGTTTCTAATGTGGGGGGTGACTCTGAAAGGAGTGGTGAGGTGCGGGACTCCGTGCGGGAGGCAGCAGCGGCAACTCTCACTTCCCACGTCTGAGGCCATCACTCAGTCCCCAGCGCTCTGGGCCGGGGCTGGGCAGCAGCAGGCTCCCCCACAGAAGTTTAACTTTCCTGCCTGTGAAACAAATCAGCCTCCAGTGGGTGCTAAGATGGTCACCTGTAAGTGAAGCTCCCTTCTAAGGCCCTGCCCGGGAGGGCATGGCTGTGGGGCAGGATTGGGATGCTGGGGTACCCATATCACAGGGGTGGCATCTTCCCAGCAGGTCACACTCAGAAAACCTGGAATTGGGAGCTGAGATGATACAGGCATTCTGGCTGAGGTGATGCAGGCATTCTGGCTGAGATGATGCAGGCATTCTGGTAGAGTCACCCTCCTTTCTTTAAGCCAATGAATAGGGGTCATTTTCATTTATAGGGGGGAAATGAATGGAGTTGTAAGAAAGCTTAGAAAAGAAATGTCCTTTTTTATTTTTATTTTGAATAATTGTACCATCTTCATTTATATTCATTGGCACTTAATAAACGTGAAGTAAAAGCAACAGCAGGCACATTTCAAACTACCCTGAAGGTCAGATTGTGTCTCTGCTACAATTTGGCAATTCTAAACATTAAGTAACAGAAAAATTTTTCTTATCATGTTTTGAGGTATGATCAGATAGATAACTTCCCAAAAGATAATAGGAATATTATTTGTCACTATCATAATCACCGGATAAAATTAAGCATCTTCTGACTTTTTTTTTTTAAAGATTTTATTTATTTTATACAAGAACTGGGGTATAGGTCAGAAATGTGGGAGGGTGAGAGAATTCACCAGAGCCAGAGCTGGGAGCAGAACAGGCAGACGGACCAAAGACACTGCTGGGGGGAGCAGCGGGCAAGGCAGGAGAGGTCTGCCGTGCCATGTGGGGTTCTCCCTGGCCGGCGGGGAATCGAACCAGTGCTACAGAGGCTGCGGACAGCTTCGCAGCATGGTACTTAACCGCTGTGCCACCAGAGGGGCCCCATCTTCTGACTTTTAATGCTGCATATGATGTTAACTGTAGCATAATAAAAGGAGGCAATAGTCTCTATCCCCTAATTTCCATCCTAATTCTTTGATGATCCAGTAAGTATTTCTTTGCATTCATTTCATCATCTGTTTAAAAGGACATCTCAAAAACATGCAAAAATTTAATTAGTGATTCAAAATCTTTTTTCCTGAGAAGAACGATCTCAAATAAATTTGGAATGAATGCAGTTCTTCTAAAAAGAAATTAATTTAAGAATATGTAGTTTGGTTACCTAAAATTTACTAAGGGATTTAGAATATAATGTTACAAAATTGAATCCCATAAAAAATATTTTATAGTATAACAATAAAATTTATAAAAAAAAAAAAAAAAAAAAAAAATATTTTATAGGAAAAGATATCTAAGAAAACCTCTATCTAACCAAGATAATGGAGATAACTCAGTGAGATGTTAAACAAATGATATTCTGAAATGTCCATTTTTAATAAAATTATTTTAACAGGGAAAAGTACCAGGCTTTTTTTTTTTTTTCCCCTTAAAAGATTTATTTATTTATTTATACAACCACTGGGTACAGTCAGAAGCGTGGGAGGGTGAGAGAATTCACCAGAGCCAGAGCGGGGAACAGAGCAGGCAGATCAACCAAAGTACACTGCTGAGGGGAGCAGTAGGTGCAGCAGGAGAGGTCTGCGCGCCATGTGGGACCCTCACCAGTGGCCAGGGATTGAACCTGCACTGCAGAGGCTGCGGGCAGCTTCTCAGCCCAGTGCTCAACCACTGCGCCACCAGGGGAGGCCCTGGGCTTTTTAATTCACCAGAAGAAGTTCTTAGCGCAGGGTCTCATAGGTGGGCCTCAGAGTTTTCTAACTGAATCTCTGTGCAAATTTTTGTGTATTTCACAGTTCTCTGCAGAGAAGTTTCGTAGCTTTCATTCTATTCCCAAGAAAGGTCGAGGTTAAAGATATTAAAAAAAGATTAAGGACCCCTGACTCAGAGATCAAAACCAGTAGGCAGAGGAGGAAGAATGGCTACCTTGGTATAGAAAAATGCTCTTGCTAGTAAAAGAGAAGCTTTGCGGAGTATATTTCTTTCTAGAAACTTTATTACCAGACAGAAATAAAAAAGCAAATTTTAAGTTGCTAGATTTGCAGAGATTACATTATGACTTAGAATCACACCCTGAAATACTAGCCAAAGCACAGATAGTTCTGCTTACTCTCCACACCCACACACGCCCTGGGTCTTGGGGCTGGGGGGAGACACTCTTCTTCCCAGCATGTGGTCGCTGTCTGGACAAGGACAGGGATGGATCGTGTGCAGCTGCATGGGGGGAGCAGAGTGTCCTGGTATCAGTATGGGGGAGGGAACTCTGAGCCCCAGGGCCCAGCCCGGGAGCGGGGCTCCCCTGCCCTCTTGCCAGCAGGATACCCAGAGGAGGGCAGGAGATGGGGTGTTGTGGGTAAGGTCTGCCTCCTTGTTCCTGCTGTTTTTCCACCCCCAGCTTTCTCAGTTCCCCCAAAATCTGGCCATTGCTCATCTTGGCTTTTTTCCTGGCAGCAATAGGCCCTTCGACATTACTGTCCCCCTGAGGGAGCATGGTGTCCTTACGGTGCCTTTGTGTTTTCACTGTTCTCAGAAAGCCTGGCTTTTGTTCATATTCTCTGGTTATTTGCTTATAGTTTTTTTTTTAATAATTTTTTAATATCAGTTGCAGTTCTTTTTTTTTTTTTTTTTTTTAGATTTTTATATAAGAACTGGGGTACAAGTCAGAGGCGCAGGAGGGTGAGAGAATTCACCAGGGATAGAGCTTGGAGCAGAATAGGCAGATGGACTGAAGACACTGCTGAGGGGAGCAAGCAGGTGAGGCAGGAGAGGTCTGCGCTGCAGAGGCTGCGGACAGCTTCACAGCGAGGTGCTCAACCCGCTGCGCCACCGGCGAGGCCCTGTTTGGTCATAGTTTTAAGTTTTTGCACAGAAAAAAGATATCTCCAATCAGGACGTGCTTTTTTAATTAATTTATTTATGCATACAAGAGCTGGGGTACAGGCCAGAGGTGTGGGGGGGTGGTGAGAGGATTCACCAGAAACAGAGTGGGGAGCAGAACAGACAGAACAGACAGATCTACTGAAATACACTGCTGAGGGTAGCAGCAGGCAAGGCAGGAGAGGTCTGCTGCGTCATGTGGGTAGCACCCTGACCAGCTGGGGATCGAACTCGTGCTGCAGAGGCTGCGGATAGCTTCACAGTGCTGAGCCACTAGGGAGGTCCTCTAGGTGGATTTTTAAAACTATTCATGAATTTTTTTTTCCTCTGTAGTTAACCATAATATATGAAGATCCTTACTATTAAGCCATGTGGCTCAAGCCAATTTTGTTTCACATGATGTAGAAAGGATTTGTTTGCTTCTTAATTCCACTTGAGGTTTTTTTTTTTTTTTTTTAGAGCAGTTCTCAGAGAATTTAATTCTTCAATTTAAAAGGGAAATCAAAACAAGAAATTGCCGGCAGACTTTAGAATTTTGCTTCAATCATCATTTGAGTAATTGCAACCAAACCTTTGTCCTCACGTAATTATAGAACTTAATAAATTCACATTGAAAATGCATATCATTTAATAGACATTAATTAGCCATTACCTCTTTCTATCAAGGATATTGAAATAAACTGTGTATTCTAGACTTTCACATGCTTATCATAACAGAGCACTAAAAGGTTTCAGTCTGTGCAATGCTGCGCTCTGGAATGAAAGGCTGGGGTAAAGCAGACTGGACTCGAGTAGGCAAGATCAGTCATTCCGCACCACAGGGGCCACATTTCAGGGGCCTTTTGCATCCCAGTAACTGAATAATTATGTAGCTCCCACCAGGGGCCTCCCCTTCCACCCCAGCCCCGCATCCCCCGTGGAAGGAAAGTTTCCTGTTTCTCATTTTCCAATGCGAGGGCTCTCTGGGTGTTGCTGGTGGTCTCTGCCTGCAGCCTCACTGCCCTGCGCCCCTCCCGCCTGTGCTCCTCGTCCGCTCCTGCCCTGTGGCCTCTGGTCCCAACCCTGCCTGGAAGAGGCTCAGCCACCACTGCTCAGACTGAACCAGAAAGTCGCCCATTAAGTGTGACCGCGAGCATTTAGTTCCACCCGGCTGTCTGATGAGCGCTCACCACCCACGGCTCCTGTTATCTGCCAGCAGGTCTTCCCGCCCGCTAGGGGCTAGGGACGTAAAGCTCTGGTGTGGCCTGGCCGAGCTGCTGGGGCGCCAGCGGGGGCTAGGCCTGCGTAGCATGCGGGGGACCTTGTTTCACTGTGGTGAAGCTGGAGATTTGCAGGAGGAGCATCCTCAGGGGGCTAAGACAGAGACAGGCCTCGCTGCTTCTCTGCAGTGGGAGGTGTCGCACAGCACAAGGCCTCACCGGCCACATGAAAGCACAGCTGCTTTCGGGACGTGAACCTGGACACACTGTCATCTGGGGACAGTGACCAGTCCCTGGAAACAGCTTCAGAATCCAAGCGGTCCCCACCCACCCCAGCCCTGCGGATCCTTTTGCAGTCATTGCTCTTCAAAAAAATACTCTTTTCTCCTAATTTAAAAAAAAAAAGAACACACTTTTTCTTGTCATGAGGACGTTGAAGGTCTGCTCTCTCCAAGGGTCAGTGTCCGGGGCTGTGGCCTGCTCAGGGCAGCCCAGCTGCCCGAGCTGTGCACCTGGTCCCTGTGGCCTTTGTGTCTCATCTAGATGCGTCTTGTTGGAAATAGTGTATCCCCCTAATAGAACAGTTCCCACGTTTGAGTTTTAAGTCAACAGCGGCTGAGTGTAATTCTCAGCGGTCACCAGGATGTTGTGGGGCTCTGGCTCAGGCAGGCAGGCTGGTCTGGGCATCAGCCCCTGGCTCGGGGGCAGGCCGTCCACTGCCCTGGCGTCTGCAATGGAGCCTCATCCAGGCTGCTGCTTCCGCCTTGTTCTCAAAACCTTTCTATAATTTGCCTCGTGCTCTTCAGTCCAATTCTGTGGAATTTGCTAGAATACTCTGTGTAAGAATACATTCTGGATCATTGAAAATAGGGATTTTTTATTCCTGAAAGTGAGGAACTAGTTTCTTATCGGATTGCCATCGTGCTGAGAACATTTTTCCCTGTTGTTTATTTTACACAAGAACCCTTTGATTTGCTCACAGGGGCTGGACCCTGTGCCTTTGGTGCTTTGCCATGTGAGGGGATTAGTCGTTTTAATATTTTAATCCTGTGGTGACCAAGCAGAGTAATAGAAGTGGAGGGCCCTGGGGGAGGGGTGGCGGAGGGTCTCTGTGCCAGGCCTCGCCCCCTGGAAGGGGGCTGCCCACCAGCCCCACGCACTTTCCAGAACTCCGCAGGAAAGCCAGACCCCCTCAGTGCAATTGGCCTCATTTTTAATGTCGCTTCTTTCTTTTAGTGATGTCTAAACATACCCCAAGTTCCTCTTTAGCCCTGTGAGTCTTGCTGACTTCACCTTTGCTGACGAGGCCTGATTTTATATTTACAGAAACTAATCCTGTGCAGTAAAATCCTATGCAAGGAGCTTCAGCGTTTTATCAGTCTCGGAGAGTCTCTATTCCACCAGCCCCACCGCTGAGCTTCTGGCCTTGGAGCAGGGAGAGCTTTGAGGAGGCTCTGTTTGGACTGGACTCAAAAGGATGGTTGTAGAGTTGAAGTAGGGGGGAGCAGGGTAGACAGGAAGCTGTGCACAACCCCAGGTGTGTAAATGTGGAAAAGGCAAAAACAAGGTTGCCGTGACTTGCTAGTTCATCTTCCTACCTGCAAATTAGATTATAAGGTTGCTTGGCGGCCACAGCCAGCCTGTCCTGAGCTCTTGGTGACTGTCTCCTACAGCCTGCACTAGAGAGACAGCAGAGAGCAGGAGAGAGGGAGGACAGGCCACTTCCAGAGCTGACAGCTGGTGGAGGTGGGTCCCGACGCTGTCTGCCTCCGCAGCGCTGCAGGTGAAGACATCCGTGGAGCCACCTCCGGGCCTCCCGGGAAAGGCCCCTCCTTGCTTTTGCGCCTTGGGTTCTGCCAGCGTTGGCATGAGGAGTCTCAAGCCTCTGCAGGATCTCACCTGTTGCACTTGGGGACCCCTGTTATCCTTTGTTTTACTTGACTGTCTGCAGGGTGACATCAACAGCTGCCTCAGTGGCCTCGAGATGCTCACACCATGATGTCTAAGGGCCATACTGCCTGAGTGCAGTCCTGAAATGCAGCTGCTGCTACTCTGAACACTTTACAGAGAGAACAGGTTTATAAGGGGAATCACTTTTTAGCCCCATCTTACAAATGAGGGAGGAAGTCAGAGGTCAAACATGTCCCCAAGTTCACACAGCTGCAGGGGCAGGGCTGGAGCCAGCGGCTGCCCCCACACTAGGGCGCCTGCCCCTGCCACCCCCAGAGTGGCTCCAGTTGTGCCTAAAAAGCAAATACTTTCCAAGCATTAAAAACACAAAAGACCCACTGTCTGTGGATGGACTCTCAGCAGGGATGCCATTTACTCCCTGAGCAAGGCAGCAAAGGCAAGGAGGAGCACACGGAGGTGCATTCCTGTCTGAAAGGAGACCGTTCAGTCACTGGGGTGCTTGCCTGGAATAAAGGACACTAGGAAAGACACCCCCCATGACTTAACTGGAAAACGAGAAGGCACAGAAACACCTTTTCAGGACAACGAATACGTGGAATTACCCGCACTGGTCCTGGTCTCACGCCAGCAAATCCCCTCTCCACATCCCACTCCTGCCACCCCCTGTGGAGCTTGCGGGTCCTCAGCCCCCCTTGCTGGGGTCACTCTGCCGTGATGCCAGTCTGATACAATCAGCAATAGGCCCCAGTGCAGGCAGATCTGTTGGCTTCACAGACACTTCCACCAAGAGAACATCGCTAAGGCGCTTGTGGCCAGCGTTGGCTAGTTAAGTGGGCCCTGGAGTGACTGTAATCTAAAGCTTCTTTTGTTCTAAATGTCATCCATGCTTCAGCCTGCATCCGTGGGGAGACGGACTGTTTCTCCATAACTGCAGATGAGAGATACTGTCACGGTGTATCTGGTCCCAGACCTGCACTTGGCAGGTGAACCCGTGAGAGTCAGTGACCCGCCCTGCTGATATCCACGATTTAGGGAAGCCAGGGTGCCGCGAGAAATTGAGGCCAGCCCTTGCCAGAGCAGGACAGGCTCCATGCTGTCATTGGCCTTCTCCCCACATGGGCGTGGGCTCCTGAGATGCTGCCTGCTGAATTACAGTGCCTTTGCCCTTTCCCCCGCTCTCACCAGGATCTTCCCCATCAAAGATGTTCCCCTGGAGACGGAGGGCCTCACCAACTGGCTCTACCAGCGTTTCATTGAGAAGGAGGACCTCTTATCCCATTTCTACAAAACAGGTACGCAGCCCCCTCTTAGAGACGTGTCCCAGTTACTGCTCAACCTGAGAAGCACATTAGGGAAAAGGAGCATTTTCAGTTCTTCAGATGCCCTGAGGGAATCAGAGTATTCCTATATTTAAGAATTTCAGCTTAGAGCTTTCATGGAGGCAAGTTGGTGTTAGCCAGCTCAGGCCTGGCCTTACCTTCTCCAGGTGACAAGTGAGATGGGCCCTGGCTGCGAGGGTTGGGGTCTTCCCAAGGGGTGGGTGGTGCCCACGTCTCTGCTGCCTTTAAAACTGCCGCCATCTCGCAGCCACCCAAGATGGCCTTTAGCTGTGGTTTTAGATCCTTGTTCTTTTCTCTCTCTCTCTTTTTTAAGGATTTATTTATTTATGCATACAAGAGCTGGGGTGCAGGCCAGAGATACAGGGGTGAGAGGATTCATCAGAGACAGAGTGGGGAGCAGAACAGGTGGATCCACTGAAATCCACTGCTGAGGGGAGCAGCAAGGAGACAGGAGAGGTCTGCTGCGCCACGTGGGTAGCTCCCTGGCCAGGGATCAAACTCAGGCTGTAGGGGTGATTGCGCTGAGTCTAGTCCCTAGGCCACCAGGAAGTCCTGATCCTTGTTCTTTTCTTTATGTATGGAGTTCACTTTTTAAGGCTTCATGCCTGCAATCTCACCCTTTTCTCCTTGGGAAGAGAACAGGCCGGTTCACCTTAAGGTCCGTTTCCTGCTCTTCATGTCCTCTGGCGAGTGCAGCGTGGTAAAGATGCCCTGAGATAAAGATACCCTGTGAAGAGGGGGGTTGAGAGGGAGGGAGAAGGGGCATCAGGAAGGGGACCCGGCTTCCATCAACACTGGGCCCGACAGCTGTGTGGCCAAGCAAGACCCGGGTCCGGCAGACATGGTCACAATTTGCTTTTCTGGTGCAGTCAAAGCACATGTTACGTCAGTCTGTCCCGGCCACGCACTCCTGACTGTCAACTGTGTGGCCTGTTCACTGGCCCTGGGCAGCCCGGGAGTGGGCACCAGTGTGTCCTGTGAATTCCCAGCCAGATGCCCCCTCTTGGCCTCACACTCACGTTTTCTTCTTTAAATTCAATGCGATAGTTTTTTCATAGAAGTGATGTGCATGAAAGAGAGAGAGGAGAAAGGGTTTCCCAATAAAATTCCAGAACTTCCCCCATCCCCTCGTGGGCAAACGCCTGGCCAAACAGCTCGCCACATGGCTAAGGCACCTTCTGGCAAAGAACCACAGGAGGGGTCATGCGGGTCCCAGGGAGCTGGGACAGAAGGAGAGACTCAGACTCAAGACATACACGTCGCCCAGCCTGAAGTCATGGCCACAGCCTTGCTGTCCCCACGAGCCCCGGGAGCAGCCCCTCAGCGTTTTGTTGGAGACGCGGCCCCAGGCCCTCGTAGGCGCCCTCGTGGCTCCTCCTCAGCCCTCCTCAGCCCTTCTCTGCGTTGTGGTGCTGGCTACAGGAACGAGCCGCTAGCACCGTTGACCTCGGAACTTGACAGTGCTCCCCCAGTGTCTCCTGGGGGCAAGTCCCCCCTGAGTCAGCTGGCCCTGGGGTAATCGGCGAGCGTGGGCAGCTGCGGCACTGTCAGGGAGCCTTAGGTGGCATCCTCTGAGAAGGTCTAGCTTTGCCCTCCAGAAAGGCCCTGAAGGGCATCAGTTCTCTTTGCTTCTCCTGTTTGGTGTTAGATGGAGTTCACGCAGTGCTGCCTGTGGAAATAACCCCCGTGTCGCACATCCATGTTTCTGGTGGCGCTGCCGGACACCTGTGAGGTCCGGCAGGCCAGTTGTCCAGTGTGGGCTCATAGTCTGTGCGCTGCCACCATGGGAGGGGTGCAAGCAGCTGCCGCACGTGTCCCCCAAACACATCTGTGCAGAAGGGGGTGGGGATGGTTCCAGGCTGCGGGCAGCCCAGACAGACAGGCAGGCGGGCAGTGAGGCAGTGGGCGGGCGCCGGGGGTGGAGCGTAGTCGCGGGGGAGCCCATTCCAGGTGAGGCCTGTCCCCAGAGTGAAGGGAGGTCACGAGGTGGGCACAGGATAAAAGCTAGTGACCTTGTGACTCCACTTTTGTTGCGGACCCCGACCACAGGGCACTGCAAATGCATGTCTCCGCTTGTCTTTCAGGGGCCTTCCCGCCCGCCCGGGGCCAGAAGGAAGCCGTCGCCAGGGAGATGACCCTCAGCAACCTGTGGATACTACTCATCCAGTCCTTCGCCTTCCTGTCCGGCTACATGTGGTACAGCATCGCCCGGTATTTCTACCGCTGCCTTTTTTAGGAACTGACTTGGACTTGTCAAGGTCACCCCAGGCTCGAAACTTTCATAACAAGCATCATTTCACGTGTGCAAATCAGAATATATATATATATATATTCTGATTTATATATATATATATATATATATAAAACAGGTGATTCAGTGGCTGGATTAGTATTTATCCCCCTTTGGGATATTTTAAAACTCTACTAAATGAGGATCAGTAACATGACGACCCGCTAGTATGCTATCAGGACTTTCCATGTCTTAAAGAGATACACACATTTACACCAACATCACAGCGAGAAGAGGACGTCGTGAGACCACCATAGAAGACTGCAGGATGCCGCGGCCCCAGCCCCAGGGTGCTCAATGCTTGTGGCCTCCGGCCCTGTATTGGTGTCCTGAGAGGGGCACCCTGGTCCCAGGCTGTGGGCAGGCAGGACAGGAAGCACTGTCTGTACTTGCTTGCCCACGCTGAGCGGGCTGCCAGTTCCCTGGTGCACAGGCTGTGGCCTGTAGGGGACTCTCCGCCCCAAGGCCTGTCCATGGCTGAGCAGCTGCGACCGCACCAGGCCACAGGCCGGGGCTTTGCTGCCACTGGACTGTGCGCCCCCTACCCCGGCCTGCGCAGAGCTTGCCTGGGGGGCACAGGCGCTGGAGGCGTCGTGTCGTGTGCAGGTGGTTAGGAACATTAACCCCACACATGCTACACGGTGCGGCTGCCAGGTTATGCTAAGCGGGGAGCCAGGCCCAGGTGGTTCCCGCACGGCCCAAGGCTGCGTCCCACCACTGGGAGCTGCCGTTGCTTCCTAAGAGGAAAAGTCATGTCTATTTCTAGAAAGGGTTTGTGGGGTGCGGGGGGGGGGTGTGTTCGAGGGGTGTATGTGGTGTGTGTGGGGTGTATGTGGGGTGTGTGAGTGTGTGTCACTGTGTTCATTTGACTTAGCTCACAGGAGACCCCACCTCTTCTCACACACGCTGCCGGCACCACCTTGGTGAGTCCTGGAGCTGCCGCTGTGGAGAGGGGGCACTGGATTTTGGCCTTTGTGCCTGCTGTGACCTCAGAGGCCAGAGGCAGTTCCTATGACAGGAGCAGGCTAGAGCCATCAGTCGCTAACTGTACATATGACAATTTGAGAAGTAGACTGTACAGTGAAAACAAGGACTAGTGTTCTCCATCGTCAAATAAACCAAAAACACTGAAAAGATGTAACTTCCCCGGCAGTGTGGGAAGGGTAAAGCAACACCAAATCCAGGTGGCTCTGTCCGTGGGTCACTCATTGCACCTGTGAGAGAACTGGCGAGTGCCCCGGGATGGGTGGGCGTGGGGATCCCCGTGCCCACGCGGGGATGGGTGGAGGTTGCTGGAGGCGCTGCGCAGCAGAGCCTTCCCACTCCAGGTGTGTCCTGGTGCAGAGCAGCTGGCCCGGCTCAGTCTGGGGCACGGCGCTGACAGGAGGGAATGGAAGACACTGAAGCTGCCTCCGCGTGAGGCCCGCAAACACCCCAGGTTGCAGGATGTGTCTAAACTGCATCTGAGGATCAGCCACCCGGGCCCACAGCTGTGTGTTCCCCAGAGGAAAGTGCCCGTGGGCCCCGTGCAGGGATAAGGGTTGCGGGGGGAGCTCATGGGCCCAGCCAAGTCACCACCATGGCCTGGGGGCCACTGCACCCACCACGGCCGAGGCTTCCCTGAAAGTAGACCTGTGCATTGTAAATAGACGTGTTCGCTCAGCCTTGCCACCTGGTTCTTTGCCAACATGTTCTTGCTCTTCTGTTTGCAAAATCTGTGCGTGTAGGAAGCTCTGTGGCGCTTCCGTGGCAGGCGTGGCGCGGCCTGGGGGCCAGGGATGCAGCCGGTTCTCACCTGTGGCTCGCCCTGTTGGTGCCTCCAACTCCCGCAAAGGGAGATGAAAGGGGGTTTAGAAAAATGCACATTTTGTCAGCGGAGAGAGAAACTCCAGCATCACAGGCCAGCAGCCACAGGACTCAGCACCTCTCGCCTCCCCGGCCGGGGGTAAAGAGCCAGGTGGACCTGGCCCCGGTGGGCAGAGCCGCCTACGCCCACCCTCAGGAACAGTGGTCAGTGCCAGGACATATGGACATCGCGGAGAAGCCGGCGGAAGGTAAAGAAAAACAGCAGAGTGGAAAGGGGATGTTTGATGAGCACACCAATGCGTTGAGAATCCAAATAATAGACTTTTGTGTTTAACAAGACAGCTGTGCACTCTGACCTGTCATACTATGAAATAGTTTTTAATATTACACCCAACACTTCATTTTCCATGGTAAAGAAATGAGAAGTTACTGGATAGCCAATCCAGTAATAAGGCATCGCAAACCACCAATGTAATTGTATTTAGAAGTGAATTTTTATTCTCATTAAATTGCTTTTCTTGTAGGGATGCTTACGAATTTAAAAATGGTTTGAGTGGTTTCTTAATTTCACTTGCCTCTATATTTATGGTGGTGTTAATGAGGAGTGAAGAGATTTGGAAAGACAGACACCAAAGCCTAGACGGTCCCTGGCTGGGCAAGGGATCCCCGAATAACCCGTGGGTCCTGGGAATCGCACTTGCTCGCAAGCCTTTCTGTGAATGTGTTGTTCGGCCCCGGCCCTGGATGCCGCCCTGGAATGTTCGCATGAGTGCCCTGTGACCGGGCTTCCCACTCTTCTCCTTTCCCTCCTCCTGTGGAATCGTCTCCATAACATTGTCTGACAATCACTTCCCCAAAGACTCTTCCGAACTGGGACCGCTTATAATCCTAGAAAGTGTCTTCAATCGTGGATAGTCTTACTGGATTCTTGTAGATATTTAAGAACATTTTATTTGCACTGCTGACTAGGAAGAGTTAGTTATTTTCTTCATACACAGGACTTTCCTCCAGAGTTCCCACAAAAGATGGATACAAACGATCAGTCTTGCCATTCAGTGCTGGGCCGTGGAGTGCCCCTCCAGCCGCCTGTTGCGAGGCCAGGCCCTGGGCAGCCTGGGCAGCCGTTCATTGGCTGGATGGGTTGTGGGGGTTGAGGCAGAGATGAGCCTGACCCTCTGGGTCACTGAGGGGCCGGGGGCTCTGAGGCGGTCACTGCTTGGTGCTTTATAGTAATCATTTTGCATCGATCCCCAACAATTAGGAACTGAACCCTGGGAATAAGCCGAGGGTGCTGAACTGTTGGGGGAGGGTGACTGTAGCCATACAGAAGGTAAAATATGGGTTTTTCTGCAAAATTTCCATTTGAGGATTTTTACATTTAATATTTTTTTAAAACAGTTTAAAGGGCAAAAAAAATTAAGTGTATTCTAGTTGCAAAGCGTGCACACACATTTTGAATGGCTTTATTTTTATCGTGTAAAACTGTTGAACACACAACTGTGACGCACAGATTTTTACATGGAAGGAATCTGTGCATTTACAGTAACTTATTTCATGATTGGGCAATGAAATGGCTTCGTTGGACTGCCATTGTTTTATTAACTGCTTTCATTTTCTTTACAGTTATTGCAATGTCATATTTATTTCATATGGATGGAGCATAGTTTTCTGACGCCGTGTTTACGTCTGCTTGTTCACCGCTCTTTGTGTATCTGCATGTTGTGATGTATGATGAGGATGAATGTAAAGGCTGTGGCAACTGTCATTACTTTTTGTAAAGGGCTGGTCACACGTGGATCTGGTTTATGAATGCATTTGGGGATATTTTAATAACCAGATCACCTTTTCAGAAATTTAGATGTGAACACCAAAAGAAACATTTTTTCAACAGAAATTAATAGCTGGTTCTATTTTTTTTAACTTAGAAAAAATAAAGTTGATTTTTTTTCAAGTAAAGTGCTTTTAATTCTTAGCAATGGGGTGGGGTATTTGTGTTTTACTAGAGATATTTTGGCATTCGCATCTGCAGACTTGTACTCAGCATACATTATGTCCAGTGGATGCTGAGGGCAAACTGAGAAACCAAACAGAGGCAAACTGTACTTCCTTCTTTGGTTTAAGACCAACCCTCCTTTCCCCACCTCCCCTGAAGTGGAATACTGGAAGACGTTTAACAAACAGTCTTCCACCCAGAAAAAAAAAAAAAACAAAAAAACTATGTGTACAAGTGTACATAAGATTGTTACAAATTTTGCTGATAGCAAAGATGTATAGCATAACAAAAAAGACAAAATATTATAGAATAGTGTCAATATTATGTATTACAATATGGAATAGTGTAAATTCCGTATAATCAATAGATTCTACCAGAATTCTTTGATTGATTTTCCTGAACTCGTGTAGCCAACCTATGATTGTGATTCAATCGTGACTTGGAAAATGGAATGACACCCAAATCTACTCGCTTCTCAAATGTGTCATCTTCAGCCTGGTGTGTTTCTTCCATACAGATCACACCCATTAAACTAAACCACTTTTAGCTTTGGCCTTAGTTGTAAGCTTATGTAATTTTATTTCAACAACTTCTGGGGCCTCCCCTGGTGGCGCAGCGGTTGAGTGCTGGGCTGCAAAGCTGCCCACAGCCTCTACAGTGCCGGTTTTATCCCCAGCCACCGGGTGAAGGTCCCACATGGCGCGCAGACCTCTCCTGCCGCCTGCTGCTCCCCTCAGCAGTGTACTTCTTCGTCAGTCTGCCTGTTCTGCTCCCTGTTCTGGCTCTGGTGAATTCTCTCACCCTCCCGTGCTTCTAACTGTACCCAGTTAGAATAATATAAATAAATAAATAAATAAACAAATAAATAAATAAATAAATAAAAATAAACGAATGAATAAATAAATAAATAAATCTTTAAAAAAAAAAAAAAAAACAACTTCTGGCAAAATTCTGAAATGAACCAGGTGGCCCCCTGGAGCCATAGGCACTGTCCCTAGTTCACCACTGCCCCCTCCTTTTTTGTTTTTTTGGTTTGTTTCTTAGCTGCTAATGCTGAATACATTTCTCACAGTTCATCTACTCACCACTCTCAGGAAATCCCCACCACTGGCCTCAGCTGGGGCTTGAAGCCTGGGAAAGCGTTAACATCCGTCCCACGAGCATCCTTTCAGTTTGGAAGAACTGGACAAAAGCAAATTTTGTCCTGGTGCACGGAAACTCGCCTCTTTTTAAAACCGGCTCTATTTCTCAAAGCTAAGTCAGGTGTGCGGCAGGGCTGCTGAGGCTTTGATCTTGAGCGTGTCCAGATTCTCTGTCTGTAGAATACACGTGATCCCACTGACAAAGTCTTAATGCGTTAAAACCACTACACCATCTACCAAATGCCGTCCCTGTTCAGTCTGCCTTTTTGTTGTGTGTCTGGATCTAGGCTGTATTTCAGTGCGGCGGTCAGTGCCCCCCAAATGGTTTCTGTGGATGGCGAGAGCAGGCAGGGCACAGAGGCCCGAGAGCGTCACCGAGGCACCAGAGACCTGCTGACCAGCCCTGTTCCTCCTGAGTTGGAAAAAAACAAAGCCATTGTTTCTAATTTCCACTTAATATGAGAATGTTGTTTTTAAAATGTTTCTTCCTGCTTGGAAAAAAATGTATTTTTAAAAGGAAAACAATTCCTCTTTTGGCTATAAGGAAAGGTCAGTTGTATGAGCAGGTGTGACCACACCATTCACATGCTGGTGAGATATAAACCAATAAATTTTTACCTCTCAGGACTTGGAGAACTTTGTTCTTAACTCTCAGAGGCTGGAGAGACGTACGCTTAAGTGTCAAGAATCCGGACTGCAGGAGTGCAGTGGGGAGGTAGCTGGCTGCTGCTGGAAACAGGCAGGCCGCTCTGGGTCAGGAACGGACCCACGGGGCTGATTAAACCCATTTTGCAAAGGAAGAAATTGAACATACCTGCCAGCTGGCCCAGGCAGCTC